AAAAGAGATGCCCTTCTCAATACTGTTTTCGGAACCCTTTTGCAACAAAAATGGTAGTACTTGGTTTTACTCATGCCGTCTAGGCCAGTAATATTTAGTTTTATTCATTTTTACACAATGAGTAGGTGAGATAATCCTACCCAATTGTATCATCCCAACCCGTAACTCTGTAGAATAAAAATATCTAACTGTCATTAAATTGAATTAATAATTTTGTGCACACAAATTGTTGATCATTAAATATTCACACAAATATTTGTATACAATATTCATAATGGAAAATTTGAATTTTTTTAATCAAATATTATCATGTTTAGACCACTTCTTTCTTTGTACTTTCCTACCCTACCTACCTTCTATCTTCCCACAATACTATCAAATGGCAACAAAACCTAATACCATGAACAACGTAAACATTCAAAACTCATTAACAAATTGTTATTTAATATTATCAAAAGAGAAAAAACATCAACAACAACAAATAAAGTATTCATTAGTATTCTGCATGTGTGGCAAAAAATCGGAGCAGTTTTTTTGGTGCGTTTGGCGCAAGTTAATGAAACTGGTTAAAAATTAAAGACATACAACATGATTTATGTTGTGTTTTTTGTTAAAAAAAATCTACGATTTTAGTGAGTGGTATGGCTAACATAGACAAGCAAAAATAAAAAAAAACTAATACAGGGTGCAAAAGCAAACAATGATAAATATATGATAAAGATTAAAAAATAGTGATAAGACATATAAAATATGAAATTTACAAAAGCTATCAAAAAAAAGGAAAAATTTAAAATTAATTACATTTCTATTTACAATTAAATGAAATCTTCCAATAAGAATTGCCTTCACACAATACTAATTTCAAATAATAAAAAAAAACAAGTTTCAATTTAGCAATCTATTTAAACAGCATTTGACTTTTAACCAAAAAAATTTTAGAAGGTATGTGGGCTGGTTTATTTGCCCAAAACACACACACATGTGAACGTGTGTTTCTATACGTAGGCATTTTGCAAAATGTGAAATGATACATAAAAGGGTATTAACCCATATCAAGTGTTTTCAAGAAAAAAAAAATAGCAAGACAAAAGTATTCAATTCTTTTTTAACGGTATCATTTTTCTGTTATTTATCTTAACACTTTTTTTATTGATAAGAGAAGAAATTTATTGAATGACAGGAGAATTTTGAGTGTGTTATTTTAATTTTGGGTTTCTGCAAATTGGTATGACAATTTTGTAAGATCATTAAATAAAATATACGCATTAAATATTTATGCAGTACAAATTAATTACAGTATTTCAAGAATGAGTTTACACATTGAATAAATAAAAACTTTTGTTTTCAATTTTGTTAGTAATAAACATAAATTTCTATTTAAAGTTAAATTTAAATAGAAATTTATGACCCCAATTCTCGGGGTCAAAAATTTTTTTTGATTTCATTCGAATCTACACTAATTCAAGAATGTTCCTACAAAATTTCAAGATAAAATCTCAAGAACTCTTGAAGATATAGCCGATTTATTGTGTCAGCATCAAGTAACGGCTTCTCAAACTTTAAACGCGTTTTTCTCTTTTGTGAATGGCGGGCACGATAACTCAAAAACTAATGACCCAATCGATTCCAAATTTTTACACGTTTCTCTGTGAGTTTGCAGCTGTCGTATGAACTAGGATAAAGCCAATCGGTGAAGATCTTCCTTATTTTTTAACTTGGTTTTTGGTAAAAAATCGGCGATTTTCCAAAAATATTTTTTCAAAGGACCGCCATTTTGTTAGTTTTAGAGCGAAGTCAATAATCCTAGTTCATACGAGAGACAGACATGTGCTCTTTCTAACACCGTTGGAATTTTTGGATTCCGATGTTCCAGTGGAGAGTTATCATACCCGCCGTCAAAAATAAGGACTTTTCTTTAATTACAAAAAAATAAAACATTTTTGTAAATTATTTTTCTTCTCTTTTAAATCTTCAAATATATATGTGCTAACATTAACAAGCATTGGTATTGCTTGGGGGGTTCCCTTAATCGAACAAACATTAGGAGTTTGGTGCACCATTTATGTAAAATCGGACGAACACATATGCATTGTTGGAGCTATATCAAAATCTGAACCGATTTTCCCGAAACTTACCACACATCATTCTAGACTCAATTCATTACGCATGCCAAATTTCGTGCAAATCGAAGAATATATAGGGACTTTGGTACACCATTTACATAAAATCGGAAGAAAATATATATGGGCGCTATATCTACATCTGAACCGATTTTCACAAAACAAAAATCATTCTAGGCATTATTCAGTACGCTTTGCAAAATTTCGCCCAAATCGAAGAATATATAGGGACTTTGGTGCACTATTTTCCTAAAATCGAACGAAAATATATGGAAGCTATATCTAAATTTGAACTGATTTTCTCGAAACTTACCACTCATCCTTTTACACTAAATTCAGTACGCTATGCCAATTTTCGTGCAAATCGAAGGATATATAGGGACTTTGGTGCACCAGTTACATAAAATTGGACGAAAATATATATGTGAGCTATTTCTAAATCTGAACCGATTTTCACGAAACTTAACACAAATCATTCTAAACTTAATTTAGTACGCTATGCCAAATTTGGTGAAAACCGAAAGATATATAGGGACGTTGGTGCACCATTTAATTTCAATCGAAAGAAAATATATATGGGAGCTATATATTAATCTGAACCGATTTTTTCCAATTTCAATAGGGTTCGTCGTTGGGTCAGCCAAATGAATGAGCGTGCCAAATGTCATCCAATTCGAATAATAAATGCGACCTGTACTTTGTTTATAATTTAACATGGACAGACAAACGGACGGACATGCATAAATCGACTTATAAAGTGATTATATGCATATTCTCAAAAGGAAGCATGTGTCTACCTCGTTTCCTTTTGCCTGTTACAAACATATGCACAAAGACATAATACCCTGTACCACAGTGTGGTGAAGGGTATAAATATCCAAAAACAATAATATTTTGTTGTAACTAATTTTTAAATTGTTTATTTTTATTTGTACCAATTATCATTAAACTGTTTTTGTCAATAGACATTTACTCACACGGAAGTTAAACACAAACAAAAAAAACAAAGCAAGATAATAAACGTTTACTTTTTCAAACTGCAAATATTAATTTAAAAACAGACAGAAATAACATTAGTGAGTAAATAACGTCACATGCGGATAAGAGAAGTGATGCCAAAGAATGTAAATATTTCAATTTGTAATATTACAAATATTAGAAGTGTAAATAAACTATGCTTCCCAACAAGTGTATGTGATAATTCTTATCATCGCCTAATTGAATATTTATGGATTATTAATTTATTTTTATAGTTGACAACACAAATTATGCCCTCACTTTCGTTTAAATAGCGCCTCTGAGTGTAAATACAAATTTACAATGCATTTTGGTGATGATGGCGACTATTAGAAACGAAGTGCAAATGTTTTCCTAATAACATCTTATCAGCTAAATAACAACAATGCACGTGACTGACAACATCCTCATCATCTGTAAATATTAGCTGTCACTGAATTGATTTTGTATTTAAAATTTACATAAAAAAGGACGACAGATGGAAAATATTATTTGAGAAATTTGCATACATTTCTAATCGGAGATTGTAATGAAATATAGTATTTCAAGAATGATTTTAAACATTGACAATTATTAAATAATTTTAAAAAATAGAAATTCGAAATAACACTAATAATCGAGAAACTGGTTTAAACCATTTACACAAAGCTGCATTCAAAAAGAAGCTCAATGTTTGGGTACCACACCAATTAACAGAAAAAATAGGATGGATTGATTTTCCATCTGTGATGCCTTGGCCAAACGGAATGAGATAGACTCATTTCTTAGGCGGATGGTGACTGGAGATGGGAAATGTATCACATATGATAACCCTGTGCGAAACCGATCGTTGTCAAAGAGCGGTGAAGCACCTCAAACGGTGGCCAAAGCAGAACTAACGGCCAGGAAGGTTAAAATGGCAACAAATCATACAATAAAATGGTGCATATCCGAAGCATGTAAATAAAGTCATATAGTAAACAATACAATTTTTTACAATTGTCCCTTAATACTTTTTAGTAGAACTTTAGGAGTACTATCAGCGGTAAAAAAAAATTTGAGGGTGCACCATTTACATAAAATCGACGAAAATATATATCGGAGCTATACCTAAATCTGAACCGATTTTTACGAAACTTAACACGCATCACTCTAGACTTCATTCAGTTCGCTATGCCAAATTCCGTGCAAATTGAACGATATATAGGGATCTTGGTGCACCATGCTTAAACAAACAGATTATTTTATCTATTCCAATAGATATTTTCATACGATTTTTTTATTCATATAATGTCGGTCCAATGCTTTTTGATAAAAAAAACTATGTACAAGTCTTGTTTTAAATTGCATGTTATTCTATATTATTTAAACCATTTCTAACCATATGTTACCATCAAAGATATGCATCGAAAGTAAAAACAACAAATATTTTGTATAATTATCTTTTTCGAAAGAAAGACACGATTCAAAATCAAAAGTCGCCGAGTTATTAATCACTTACAACTTTCGAAAAAAAAACAAACAGCAAAAAAGAAATATCACACATTTTTCGTTGATTTTGAAGGTCGAGCTCCGAAACGCACGTTCATATGTTTTAATATCTGTTTTTGTCTATATCTGTCGGCACGGCTAGCTCGCACCATTGAGTGTGCATAGTTAAATAGTAAAAGACAAAAAAAAAAGAAAAACGAATTCAAAAAACACGTTTGTTGTCATATTGAAATGAATAAAATCAATGATTTTTGTTTTTAATCCTGAAAATGGGGTTGTGGGGGCTGCACTACATGTAAAACAGCTACAAAGGTTAATAGCCTCTACAAACATGGTGACATTTTTAAATAAAACCTCACTCAGACGCACAAAAAAATGGTAAATAAAACTTACATTGGTCAATTGACCCCAGCCAGTGGGCCAGAATTCCGGTTTACGCCAGGGATCCGTGGGATATGGTTCAATGGGAGTACGGTCACCATGACGATAGATCTTAAGGAAATGACGAAGAAGGAAAAAAAGAGGGAAATACCCAAATTATAAATAAATCCCTCAAACTGCACCATAACAACAACAACAACTTACCACATGGGCAAAAACTAATTTTCCTTTTAGATTTGTTGTACCAGCTGTTGCTTCTTTGGGCGAAAATTCATCGCCAATGGAGGACAACATCATATTGTTCTCTTCCTGCTGCTCACCCATCATTGCTGCAGTTGAGGTGGGCATATTGTTGTTAATGTCCGAAAACGACGAAGACGTCGAGACACCAATCGTATCGAATATGACCAAAAATAACAACAAGAACGAATATGCAATTGTTGTTGTTGTCGGTGGACGTCGACGACAACAACTTTTATTTAGATGACATTTTGAAGGTGTCTGTTGTTGTTGTGTTTTTGTTGTTAAAGACATTTTATGAATTTGCATAATTCTTGGGTTATTGAGATTTTTGATTTCATGCAGCAGCCACAGCAGAGTTTTTTAATTTGTTGTTTTTGTTTTTTATAGTTTTTTAGCCAAGGATGGAGATGTGTGGAGAGATACTTGAGAATTTTGTATATCCTAATTTGGTAATTTGAGAGGTTGTTGCTGCTGTTTGCATTACTTCTTCTTCATACCGTCGCAAAGAAGTGTACGGTTGTTTGTTTTTCTTTCTTTTTTTCTTATTTGACACGAACGACCGTCAACAGTCACCGCCGACAACGAATATACCGTAAAACACCAATTCGTTGCCCACACAACCGAAAACTAAACTGTTTTTGTTTTTTCGCGAACTGGGTAGGTTGAAGTAAGTCGATTTTCGGCTTGTAGTGACAACAAAAACAAATCGTGTTGTGAAGATAACAATCGATTTCTTTGGAGAAGGCGTATTATGCTCAAAAGCTATATTACCAAGGCACGATGGCTAAGAGGGGATGCAAAAGAAAAATTATTTAATCATGCATAACTCTTCTCCCGCACCTAAACATGATTTATTTTGATACAGAAATTCATTGTTTGAGAAAGAGGTTGTTCCATGTAATACCAGTGCCTGCACGACTTAACTATCGCCGTTGGTATTTTGTTTTGTTTACATGTTTTCACTCAAACATTTGTATATGAGAGGGAGAGAGTGAGTGTTTTCTATTTGAGTTTTTTCATGTGATGTATAATTAGTGGCAGACGTATATAGATACTATCGTAACGTATGCATAAAGGAATAAGAGCAAATTATATGTAACGAAGATACAAGTAGTTGAATATTGCAGATGATGATTTTTGTACTGTAATCGCTTAATATTTGCTTTGTTTTTATTTATATCTTAATATATCGAGCCACATTCGCCAAAAAAACGTAACCCTCAAATTTGAAATTTTACAGGAGAAGGTTTTTGTAATAAATTTGGATTTCATACGGCATTTACATTAGAACTTTTTACCGGGTTAACCTACTTTATGAGGATTTATTTGACATATATTCAATGGAATTGAAAATTTAAACCCACTCGGTTTACCAAATCCGGTTAAATGTAAACGACCTTTAATAAAGCTATTATTTTGAAATTTAGAATTATAGTTTAAAACAAACCTATAGTTCTAAATTTCAAAATAATAGCCTTATTAAATCTGAATTTATTAAAAAAAGAGGATGATAGATACTAAGCAACGGTTCTGATTGGCTTTAACATGGCGAAGACCAGGCTTATATTGGTCCCTCTTTCATCTCAATTGTGGACACTGATAAATTTCATCGCTCTATTTTCATCACCCATTGAAATAGCGAGCTGATATATGCCGCGAATTCACCCATAACAACTATAAAAAATGGGTTGAGGCGTCGGGTTAGTTGCCTATACTCGGAAAAGCCCTCCTAATATAAAAAAGCTACGAAAAATAAAACCAAACCCTCCAATGTTAACGTCTTCCTCAAACGTATAAACCACCACGATCTGGGAATATGCACTTGGAATGTGCGCTCGCTGTACAGAACAGGCGCAGTTTTTGCCTTGGCGGATGTACTCAAGTAGTACAAAGCCGATATTATTGCCTTATAGTACGTTTACATTTAACCGGATTTCGTTAACTCAGTGGGTTTCAATTGTCAATTCCTTTGCATATATGTCACATAAATCCTCATAAAGTAGGTTAACCCGGTAAAAAGTTCTAATGTATATGCCGTTTTACAGGAAATGCGATGGAAAGGGACTGGCGTAAGTAAATCAGATGATTACGCCCTATATTATAGCTGTCATGAAACGAGACGGATTTATGATTAATAGGAGATTAAAGACTTCGTCTCCAGATTCACTCCAGTAGATGGGCGAATGGCTATAATCCGGATAAAAGCGAAGTTCTTCTACATCAGTCTCATTTGTGACCATGCTCCGACAGAAGACAAAGGTGAGCAGGACAAAGGCATATTTTACGAGCGCCTAGAAACTGCATATGATCGCTGCCCTGGCCATGTCATTAAAATTCTGCTAGAAGAATTTAATGCAAAAATCGGAAGGGAAAATATTTTTGGCGCCACCCTCGGAAAATTCAGCCTCCATGATGAAACATCCGATAACGACATGAGGTTAATTGACTTCGCCGCAGCAAAAAACATGGTAGTTAGCTGCACCAGGAGACAGAATGAAGTCCGGATATTTTACCAACAACTAAAACACCAAACCGACGGCTTTGATGCTGGCACACCCTCCTGTAGGGATGAAGAAGGAAACCTTGTAACAGATATAGACAGCATGTTGAGGATGTGGAAGAGGCATTTTGAAAAGTTTCTGGTAAAAAATGGTGGCGATAAAGAAGATACCTCAGAACCAATAAGAAATGACGGTATAGATTGTATACCTCCTAGCCAAGATGAGGTCAGAGTAACAATTAATCGACTGAAGAACAATAAAGCAGAAGGTGCCGATGGATTACCAGCCGAACTATTCAAGAGCGGTGGTTAGATGCTTGTCAGGAGCATGCACCATCTCATTTGTACAATTTGGCTAGAGGAATGCATGCCCAATGATTGGACTGGGCATTCGACAGCTCTATCCGTTCAGAGGTGCAGGATATCTGTAACTGGCACAAGGTCGGCAGTTAAAGTCGGAAAATACAAGGGTTTGTGGTGTGATCTTTTTAAAGGAAAAGGTCATACGAGCGCAAAGACCGACTCGCCTGGAATTCTGTTCTGTCACAAGCCAGCTAAGTAAGGCCATATAATTCACGTAGAAAAATCGGATATTGCAAAATATTTGTGGGATTACATATTTTCAGTCGAATCGAAAAGGGATTATTGTATTATAGTTTTTTTTTTGTAACAATGAACCTCTTTCTAAAGTGCGTTTACATTGTACCGGATTTGGTTAACCCAGTGGGTTTAAATTGTCTATTCCTTTGAATATATGCCAAATAAATCCTCATAAAGTAGGTTAACCCGGTAAAAAGTTCTAATGTAAATTCCGTATATATTGGCATGGACTGGATATTCGTATGTTTTCATCGTCTTTTTGCTTTTTTACCCGATCCTTGTTCAGAAAACCTTATATATAGGTACACTAAGACATTTCGTAATGCAAATAACGGAGAACAGTCGGATTCATCTGAAATGTTTAGCATAAATTATCCGGGCCATTTATCCGTATCGCTAATTTTATAAACCGAATTTAAACACTAAAAAATGTTTGCTAATTTCGATTTTTATTACGCAAGAATCTGATACCAAAGTGACACATTACCATTAAAAACCGACTCTTTAATATCTGGAGCGAATAATAAAAAAAATTAAGCAATTTAAAGATTTGCAATTTTGCAACTTAAATAAGTTAGAAGATATATTTCATTATATTTAAAAAATAACATATATTATTAAGATGTAGGCACATTGGCTACAGTTTCTTATTTTATTAAATGTTCTGAAATGTTGAAAAAGTTATATAAAATTAAGACAATAAAAATTAACACTAATTAAATTAATTTATGGAATAGAGACAACATCGTTTTTAGTTTAGAAACGTCTCCTGTAAATAGAATAATTTAAATGATGTTTAGGATGGTGGATTTTTTTAATCATAATAAATAATAATATCTGCATTAACAACCTAATAAAGTAATTTTTCGGATTGAACATTAATTTCTTGTAAACAGGGAATAACAAAAATTTAGTTTCGTTCCAAAAAACGTTTACTTTTAAAACCACAAAATTTATAACCTTGCCTATACTAATAAAAGAGTAAAATGATTGACTGACTGACTCAACGCCCAGACGAAACGGCTGGAGCTAGAATCATAAAATTTTGGGTGAGGGTCACTCTTGGACCAAAGGTGACAAATAAGGCTTGGTGGTGTAGGGTTGTGTTAAATAGGAAGTTTTGGAAATTCGTACTACTGTGTACTAAATTTAGTACAATTTAAATTGTGGGTCAACCGATAGAACTGGAATCCTGAAATTTGAATTTGGAATAATTGTGGGGGTATAGGATTGGTGTTTGTAGAAAATTGGTACTACTGTGTACTAAATTTGGTAGAATTTGAATTGTGGGTGAACCAATAGAATTTGAATCCTGAAACATGGATTTAGGATAACTGTTGGGGGTGTGGGTTTGGGTTAAGTAGAAATTATTGAATATTCGTACTACTGTGTACTAAATTTGGTGCAATTTAAATGGTGGGTGAACCAATAGACTTGGAATCCTGAAATTTGAATTTGGAATCATTGTGGCGATGTAGGAAGTTTTGTTGGGTGGTTGAGGTGGGTACTCTTGGAAGTAATGTGTGCTAAATGGAACTAAATTTGGTACAATTTGGATTTGGGTGAACCTTTAGAGCTCAAATCATAAAATTTGGTACTAAATGGTATTCAAATTCGATATTAATGTGTGGATTGCTTAGTTTTTTCGCTAACGAAGTAGCGGGCATATGCTAGTATTATATATTATCTTTGGTTTGGTCATTAAATTCGCATTTTTTTAAAAAAATTGTTTGTTTTTGTGCCCATTTCTAAGAAGTTTTCTTAATGAATTACTCCACCATCAAACGTTATTAAGATTTGCACTATAAGTTTGGTGTTCGAAAAAAAGTTTCTGAAAATCTTGGACAGCACTTAAAGATCCTATATTTGTCACACATCAAATATGTTTTGTATTCGAACAGACGGCTTGACAATTGTGGACCTTAGTTTCAGGATCGAATACCATGTATTTTTTTATTCTTACCACGAATTGGCATAACGTTTTAATTTAAAAAATATATTATGTACTTACGAAACATGTATTGTCTTTTTTTAATAACAAAGACTTCATTAAATAAAAACGCATATTTTTTGGTAAATCATTATCATGAGTTTTGTTTTCATGGGGATTTTTGTATATATTTGTATGTTAAATTATTATTATTTAAAAAAACCAATTTATAATTTGTCTTATTGATAAGAATTGATATTAAATTGTGTTTTTGTTTTGCGAAGTCAATGAATTGTTTTTTTTTTCAACTCGTTACAACATTTGTTATTTGTCTGGGTTAATTGTTATAAACATTTCTCTTTGTCTTCTTTCGCAACCAACTCCTCATAATGGAGTCATCAATGAAAATTAACTAAATATTTATGTATGTATGTTAATAATTTAAAACAAAATATCAATCACGCAATGATTGTTGAATTCTTATATAGAAGGATTTATTATTAAGTCGATGATGTAAATAAAACTATGTGGCATATATAATAATGGATGTGGGCGGATTAATGGGCCAGTTGATAGTGGTATAGCCTTTTTCGCATGGCTTTTCGTATTTATTTCCCGCTTGGAAATTTATATTTTTCTAATGGATGTATTTCTCTGGCCCATATTTAAACTCGCATAGACCGCAATTGTAAATGATTTTTCTTATGTATATACCCTTTAGGCAATTCTCGCTCTTTTGTTTTGTTTAATCAAAAAAAAAATCTGATTAAACTATTTTCATATAATTAGAAAATACTCGTGTTTTGTTTTAAAAGCGACGATTTGGCATACTTTGTCGTGGTGCATTGCTGTTCAAAAGAATATATAAAACGTTTAAATTAGTTTTTTGTTATATAATTGAGTTAGTAAGTTTATTTTTATATGAGAAATACAGGGGGGAAATTTCCGCTCAATGTTTCGTAATTATGGGTGGAAATTGTGTGTTTGAAAATGTTTCAATAAAGAGAATATTCCTTATTAGCTTTTTGGAAGGCCATTTTTGTAGCAGATAGACTGAGGTGGCAATTGTTGCACGGTTGAGACTTGGTATTTTCGAATTGAAGTTCTCAATGTCGTGAAAACGATTTATTTATTATCTTACATAGTATTGAGAAAAGTCTTTTAGACCTATTCGTACTAACTATCGTTTTATTGGTATATTAGATGTCCATTGAAAATATTCGTCATAGAGAAAATTTTTTTTCGAAACAAAAAGCAGTGGTCAATAGCTTGACTCTTTCGAGAGTCGATGCCCTTTGAAAATATTCAATATAGAAAAGACATCTTTCTCAGAAACAAAACGGTAGGAAATAGCTTTGCTCTTTCGAGAGCACAGCTCTTATTTTTAGGCAATGTAAATTTGTATGGCAACGAGGCAACGGGATATGTGTCTTTTGAAAATAAGTTCGTCATTTTATTGAAAATATAATACATTAAATATTTTATTATATTCGCTCTGCTGTATTCGACTATAAATTAGGGTCTTGGATATGTAATAGAATTCAGTAGGGAGTATTAATGACTATTTTTTAATACTTCAGAATAGGAAATATTACATATATGTACATATAAAACCAAAGATTAATTGAATAGAGACTTAAGGCTAGTTTAAGGTATGGTCACTGATCGTTTTGAAAATTATTTTGAAGTGGCCTTTTGGATACAGTATTTAGCATACAATTTTTCGTTTTGGAAGCTTCACAATGGTATACACACATCATTCTAGGCTTAACTCAGTACACTTTGCCACATTGCGTACAAATCGAAAGATACAGAGGAAAGCTATAGCTATATCTAAACGAAACTTGAAAATATCAATCTAGACCTAATTCAGTACAAAATTTTGTCCCAATTTGGTACACAATTTACATAAAATCGGATAAAAATATATATGGGAGCTATATCTAAATCTGAAATGATATTCACGAAACTTAACACACATCATTCAGCAGACATCATTGTAGACTCAGTTCAGTGCGGTATGTCAAATTTCGTGCAAATCGAAAGATAATTAGGGACTTTAGTGTACCATTTACATAAAATCAGAAGAAAATATATATGGGAGTTATATCTAAATCTGAACCGATTTTCACGAATCTTAACAAACATCATTCTAGTCTACCTCTTTAGGACTTTAGTGTACCATTTACATTAAATCGGACGAAAATATTTAACTGGATTATATCTAAATCTAAACTGATTTTCACCAAACTTTACAAACATCATTCTAAACTAAATTCCGTTCGCTATGTTAAATTTCGTGTAAATCGAAGGACAAAAAGGGACTTTGGTACATCATTTACATAAAATCGGACGAAAATATAAATGGGAGATATATCCAAATCTCAACCGACTTTCTTCCCAATTTCAATAGGGTTGGGCCAAATAAATGAGCTGTGCCAAATTTCATGCAATTCGGATCATAAATGCGACCAATACTTTGTTTACAATTTAACATAGACAGGCAGACGGACGGGCGGACATACATAAATCGACTCAGAAAGTGATTCCATGCATATTCTCAAAAGGAACCATGGTCAATCTCGTTTTCAAACATATGCACAAAGAGGTATAAAAATATGTGAAAATTTTGTCCCATATTAAAATTTTCAATGACCATACCTTAAACCATTCCCATTTCGAAATAAAAATTTATAATATATTACACTTTTAAACTTACCGATTCATATTGCCACCAGGACCACCGCCACCAAAACCACCTCGTCCTGCGGGACCGCCAGCATTACGTGGCACATTGTCTTGTTGATTGCCGCCTCGGTTAAATCCTCCACCAAAATTGCCACCACGAGGACCTCCACCACCACCTGCACGATTATTGCCAAAATTGCCTTGTTGTGGGAAGTTATTGCCTCTGCCACCACCAGCACCACCTCCCAATGGTGGGAATTGCTGATTGTAATCATCACCGGAATTCATGTTATTGGCAGGGAAATTCTTTTTAAAGCCTCCTTGTTGTTGAGGTGGACCACTGGGGCCATTTGGACCGCCGCGATTATTAAAACCACCCGAGGGACCACGGTTTCCTCCGCGATTGAAATTGCCACCAGCCATGTTATTGGGACCACCACCCCTTGTTTAACAGAAAAATGTAAAATGTTCAGTTACTAATTATTTATATTGAAAATATTTGTTATGCTTACATATTGGGTCCGTTATTATTCCGTCTTTGGAACATACCATCATCATTGCCAAAACCTTGATCCAAACCACCAAAACCACCTCCATGCTGATTACCACCACCATATTTTGGTGGCTGATTTGTGGGTAGAGTAAAGCCGCGTCTGTCTTGTTGGCCACCAAAATTGCCACCGGCTGGTATATTATTCATATTTCCACTAAAACCACTTGAGAAATTGTCATTGAATCCACCAGCAGCAGCAGATCCTCCTCCACCACCTCGTCCTTGATTTTGGAAATTACCACCGCCTCCTCCACGATTGGGGCCACGAGGTCCAGGACCACCACTGGCATTATTCCAATGACCATTACCACCAGAATTGTTAATGTTGCCACCACCACGGTTTTGACCAAAATTACCTCCGCCCCCTGATCTATTTTGATTAAATTTACCACCACCGCCACCTCCTTGTGGTCCTGATCCCATATTCATATTTTGTGTTGGGTAAGGGGCAGAGCGATCATTTTTAAAACCTTGGTTACGCATTGGACCAGGTCCATTCATATTTTGTGGCCCTCCACGTCCGCCCTGGAAGTTACCGCCTCCACCACGACCTCCCATGGGACCGCCACCACGAGGACCTCCACCGCCACCTGAACCACTGCCTGTTCCTATAAGGAAACCTCCGCCTCCACCACCACCTGCAATATTTTCGTTTTGGTTTTGGTCATTTAGCAAATCCAATATGACGCTGGCCAATTGCAATGTGGCCACTTGTTTGGCTTTATTCGAATGCTGTATATTGCCAGGGAAGCCAACTTTAAATACATTTATGAAATGAACAATGGAAAAAAGGAATACAAGAAGAGTTGATAAACATTATGTGATATTAAAACAAACAATTACTCTCCGCCATCATCTTGTCGTCGTTCGTTGGCTTCCCTCATCAGAGCCATGTTATGTTATTAGTATATGGTTATTAACAGGAAATTGATGTATGATCATGTATTTTCTTGAATTTTTCTAAACTTACCACCACCAACGCCGCGACCGCCTCCTCGCTGTGGTCCTCCACCACCACCGCCGCGTACCATTTGATTAGATCCACCACCTTGTGGACCGCCACTACGTTCCTTTGGTCGACCGTGTTCCACAACAATTGATTGTCCCTTAAATTCGCTGGCATTCAACGCCTGAATGGCATTCTCCGCCATTGCGGGATTTTTCATGTGTACAAAACCACACCGATTCATGACATCACATTCAACGACAACACCATAGTTTTCAAACAAATGACGAAGTTCCTCTGGTTTTGTGCCTGGCGGTAAGCTACCAACAAAAACTTTGGTAGGTTGCTAGAAAAATACAAAATATTATTTAATAAAAAGTAAGATATGTATATATAATATATGGTAATTTTTGTATATAAATGTTTGTTTTCCCTGGCCATTATAAAAATGATGCCTTAAAAGAAAACACAATAAACCAGGAATTTTAATAGTTTTACCAATTTTGTTTTGTATATCTTTGGTTGTACTTACAGCGTTGAAGGCTATACTTACAGCCATTTTATTATTTTTCTAATTGTAACAAAATACTTTCACGAAATTTATATAAAAAATACTTCTTGACGCGGCTTTTTCACATGTACAATAGAGTTGAGTAGTTCCGGAACGAACTAGTTCATTGGAACTATTCCGAGAAAGGAACGATCGGAACTAGTTCCAGATCTTTAATTAATATAGTTCCTTTCTCTGATCTAGTTCCTTTTTTGAACTATTTGAAGCAAAGGAACTGTATGGAGCAAAGGAACTATAAAGAGCAAAGGAACTATATGTGGAGCAAAGGAACTACATTAAGGAACTAGTTCATTTTTAATAAAGGAACGAGAAAGATCGATCTGCTACGTGAACTAGATTGCCCCACTCTAATGTAGAATAATAAGGGATAAGTAAATCGACTTTCGACTAATTGTTTAATAGAATTTTATATTGAAAAGTCAAAGAAATCGACTTTTTTCGATTTTTGTGGAAATCGCAAAGTCGATTTTCAAAATCGACTTTCAATTTTTCTTATAAATACTTGCAGCCTCTTATTCTGGATGCCAATTCCAAGTGAATCTACTCACTCTTCCCCTTCGACTTATTCTGAACAACATTTCCCAGTGATTTTTTTTTCGAATTCTCAGTTTCGCTTATTCTGAATGAAGTTCGAAAGCGAAAATATCCTTTTTGGAGAAAAATTAGTTATTCTGGAATACAGGGAGTGGGAGAATGTTATGACATTTTGTGCAAAATTTTTCGCTAAAAAATGTCAAAGGGAAACTACAAAAACATAATAAATATTTTTATGAAAAATATCTACACAATACTCATTCTATGACGATTAGTCTGCATTTCCACAGGCAGATTTTTATTTGGCAAATTTATTTATTTATTTTATTTTTTTATATTATAAATGAAATAAAGACATTTTGAGTGAGGATCTGTTCCTTAAAAAAATAAAATCTATGGAAAAAGCATAAAGCCAAATTCGCCTGATGAGCCGCTGAATATGATTTGAAGGACATAATACATATTATAAAATAATTTTACTACAAGAATCGATATTTTTTACGATAACACTTTTTTCCTTTATGATATCGAAGAAAATAGTAAAATATCGTAGATTCTTGCAGTACGAGAACAGACCAATTGTATGTAAATTTTTTAACTCGAAAACAACAAACAAAATTCCATTGGAAAACCTATTGAAAACGATGTATGCTCAACCAAATATTTCCATATATAAAGATAATTAGGAATATTTTAGCCGAGTTTGATGCATTTTGGAGGTGAAATAAAGACATTTTAAAAAAATTCGGTTTTTGCCATCATAAAAAAATGTTCTTTGTTTTTGCCATCATAAAAAAAGAACTGACGGTCTTAAGAACTCCTCATAGATGAGATGAAGGTATTCTCGTAGAAGAACTGACGGTTTTAAGGTTCTATGAGAAGACCTTCATCTCATCTATCAAAATGAATTGAGTTATTTTATGAGAAAACCTTCAGCACTTCTATGGAAGACATTAATGCATTTTAGTTCACTTTTTTCTGATTTTCTCTTCTTTTAAAATAGTTGAATGTCTTCCTCTTCTTTTAAAGTAGCTGCATGCCTTCCTCTTGTTTTAAAACTGCCATAGCTCTTCTCCTTCTAGATTTACAACGCAAAGCATTTACAACGACATTTTTCAATTATTGACCATTAAAACGTTCGTAAAAAAATGATTAGCGATCGGACAATAAACATGGCTTAGTTTATTGTCCGATTGTTAATCATTTTAAATTTTGTACCATATGTATTCCTAGGGCACTGAATACAACGATATATTTTTTTGAAGTCAATACTTCTAGTGCGGGGTTGACCTACTTTATGAGGATTTATTTGACAAATATATACAATTAAAACCCATTGGGTTAACTTAATCCGGTACAATGTAAACGTACTATAAGGTTCCATTGGGGTCTTGTGTTTTCAACTTAAATCAACGATAGGCATAACTTTGATAAGGTTGAGATCCAGATTACGTCAATACAAAATATTTTGCTTCTCCTTATAAATAAAAATCTATATATATACAACGCCTCAAAACGAAAAGAAAATGTGTGCCCCAAGAGAACTTTGGATGCTAATATCAGATACCACGAATTCCGATAGAAAAAAGATTTTAAGGATTTTAAACGGCATATACATTATAATTTTTTACCGGGTTAACCTAATGAATCAGGGCCGTTAGTGCGGTCCTTAAACTAATCTAAATGAGATCATTTCTCTCTTCTCGAACGAAATTACAAAAAGTAAACAAACGAAATAATTTATATTGACAACAACAACATTTATAATATTGGCAGGCATGGTTGTACATATTTGACACGCTCAAGTACAAATATTGCATAGTTGTATTTGGATTTTTGAAATGAGACTACCCATGGTACAATTATTCAAATTATTCAAGGAAGGCCATAGCATGGTACAATAACAAGAGGCAGGCTAATGGTATCTGCTGATTACAAATTTTTCTTTTGTGTGCCCCTCTTCTGTCAAAACAATAACTAATTTTTATATGTATATGTAATGTCATGGCATAATTAGAGAAGATAGTCTCATTTGAGAAAATAATTGTAACCCTTTTTAATTTGGAACTCATCTATCAATTTCAAATTGTTTGAAAAATAAATTCCATAAAATTTTATGCATGTCCATTGGCATATTTAAAAAAATAAAAATGTATATTTTCTAAAGATTTTATGTATTTTAGAATGGAAAATTTTATTCAAAATTGTATATAAATATTGTACAGACATGGTCTGTTCCCGTACTGCAAGAATCTACTCGATTTTACTATGTCCCGATTTATATTAGGCGAGTTTACTTGCGGCAATTATTATCGTTCCCTTTTGAACTTGCTCCATGCGTCTATACAAGGCAATTCGGTTTCGAAAATATTTCTTTTTTCATTTGATTTCAATTGTTTTTTCACATTTAAATAAATATAAAATGTCAACAAATACGAAATACACAAAACTAATTGCCAGAAAATTGTCGGTACGAGCAATTTTTTTCCATTTCTATTCCCCTTGCCCCTCTCTCCTACAGTCAAAGACTTGCCGCAAGTAAACTCCCCAAATATAAATTGGGACTATTTTCTACGATATCATAAAGGAAAATTCGTTATCGTAGTAAAAAGTAGTAGATTCTTGCAGTACGGGAACAGACCAACAGTCTTATTTTTTAGCCTGGAAAAGGAAAAATGTGTTATCGGTGTAAAAAATAGTAGATTCTTGCAGTACGGGAACATACCAATTATGTAATTATTACCACTGAACACTTGTTGTGCATACATTTCAAAGGAGGATATTTTCATTTAATAGTACGTTTACATTTAACCGGATTTCGTTAACCCACTGGGTTTCAATTGTCAATTTCTTTACATATATGTCAAATAAATCCTCATAAAAAAGTTCTAATGTATATGCCGTTTATGTTTTGAAAGCTGAATGTTGTCAAAAGTAAAATTATGAAAAAATATATATATGCCTGCATGAGTCTACCTTGTGTAATTATGACATGATTTAACGTCTTGAAAAGGACAAAAAATAAAATAATTTAAAATTCAATTGTAATTAAAATTTAACATTACAGCATCCGAGAATAAAATCTTTCAATGTTATTTGGAAGAAATATTATTATAATTATATTTGCTTGTCATTCCATTCATTTTTCGCGATACATTTTAATAATTTAATAAAATGATTAAAATATCTCAACGAAACAAAGCAACCTGTTGAATATGCTTATATGTGAATATGACATAATAAGATATTACACTAGACTACAGGTTTTGTTAATTTCGTCAAGTAAGCCCACCTATTGTTATTGCTACCATGAGTAAAATGTTAAAATATTTAAAAAATGTGAAAAATTATAGCGATCCTTCAAAAAATACGGTAAGCTTTAACTAAGTATGCCCAAATCGCATTTTCTTATTCCTCTCCCCAATACTAGCAAAACTGAACACATTTTTTTCAAAAATTCCATAACTACATGTAAACATCCCTATACCAATGTCAGCTAACAGCTGATTTCATTGTTTTGAATGTGGCAGCATTTCAAGATAGCAGCCGGTGTTGTCGGATGTTTTGCACGGTGACGTCACAGTATACATAAAAATAGTTATCGTCAAATAATGACATTTCGTTTGTCATTTTCATTTTTATAATAGAAGGCGACTACGCAGTTTTCTTACTGGAGATTATTTTTTAAAACAATAACTTCATAGCAGTTAAACAAATAAAGAAATACAAAAACAAATAAAATAACAAACAAACGGAAAAACTAACTAACGAATTAAATTTAGAAACAAAAAAAAGTAGCAACAAAAATGCAAAGCACAATAAAATCAAGGAATTAAACAGAAAAGAAAAAAAACGAAAGCAAACGTGCGCAAAATTATCAATGAATTTCTGTAATAAAAGAACGATAGCTACGACGACGACGTTTATACGACGAAGAAAATTGTTGAGTATAGAATTGGATTCTTAGGTTACCGGTCGGTCGGTCGGTCGCTCGCTCCCTCCGCACAACAAACAGTTCGTCTGTCTTTTTTCGAACAGCTCAACAATTTTTGTTTAGCAGCGAAGTAAAACAACACAAAATAAGTAGAGTAATTAAAAACCCCCCGTGTAACATAGTACATACAAACAAACACACACACGTACAGGCATACTCACACCCAACGACAAAATACAAGGAGTGCAATGAATAGTCTTAGCGCCAATAGCACTGGTAATTGCAGTGGTGGCATTACAGGTATACGCCCTTCTTCGGCCAGTGACGACCAAGTTGGCGGCGGTGGTGCAGCAGGTGGCGATGGCGATGCAAATTCCAGACGCCAGGCGACCCGGGTATTCAAGAAAAGCTCCTCCAATGGCAAAATCACCGTCTATTTGGGCAAACGAGACTTTGTCGATCACAGTACACATGTTGATCCCATCGACGGGGTGGTGTTTATCGACCCCGAATATGTCAAGGATCGCAAGGTATTTGGCCAGGTGTTGGCTGCATTTAGATATGGTCGCGAAGACCTGGATGTGCTGGGTTTGACGTTTCGCAAGGATTTGTACTTGGCCAACGAACAGATCTATCCACCCACCCAAAATGAACGGCCGCTGACACGGCTGCAAGAGAGGCTGATAAAAAAGCTGGGACCGAATGCATATCCTTTTTACTTTGAAGTTCCTCCATATTGTCCGGCATCAGTGTCGCTACAACCTGCCCCTGGTGATACAGGCAAATCCTGTGGTGTGGATTATGAACTCAAAGCATTTGTGGGTAAGTAGTAATAATGGTTGTTGAAATATGTGTATGTGTGTGTCATAATCGGTCCATATTGCAGGCTATTTTTTGTCGATATGATTAGATTGTGGTTTTGATGTTTTTAATTAGACATGGCGTTTTTTTCTCTGTAGATAGCTACAAGTGATATTAGATTATTTTTTGATCAATCAAGGTCATGCTGCAATAAATAGTCAGTCCGACAGTCATAAGATCACAATGGGGGCAAACAAGCAAGCGTCGAAAAAAACAGCGAAAAAACGAAAAACAATTGAAACCCCAAATTCAGCAAAAAATGAACGTTTAATTAATCAATCAACACTGAATGCCGCCTCAGTTCATATCCATATGTTTTGTTGTGGCGTTTGTCTGCCAATTGCTGCTTGCCGCTGTTGCTGCTGCTGATTCGTTGCCTACTGGTAGGGTGGTATGTACATGGACATACACAGGCACACACACACACCCATACACCACCAGTAGAGTTATATAGCAGCAATGATGTTTTTTATGTGTCATCATCACTAATAAAAAAGGCTTACAAAATTTATTCGATCGCACTGTGGTTCATATTTTATATGACTTATGTATGTCTGTCTGTCACCCTTTTGACCAATCACCCACCTTTTCATTGAAATTTGTAATAATCATAATTTGAATTTATTAGACCTTCGGCCCCAAATTTTTTATTATACTTTGATATTGATGAGAGGAATTGTCATTAGATGTATTGAAGACTTTTATTTAATAATAGATACTGTGAAATTAGTTTGAACTGCGGTTCATAATGTCTATGAACTGTGACTCCTTATGACCAATAATCTCGTCAATGGAAATATATCATTAGTAATTACGTGTAAGATTTGATTTCATGTTATCATGTTGTAACGAATTACTCATTACTACTCTCAATAGATGTGGTCCAATTTAGTTGACATTTTTATACATTCTACAATTTTTATATCCTACTTAGATATGTTGTCAGGGAATCATAGCTTTGTGCAGCCTCAAGATTCTGTAACGCCACGAAATATTGGTCCTGGACTAGCTGAGTCGATGAAGCCATGTGTTTCCGTCTATCCATTATAATTTGTAAACACGCTAAAGGCAACACTTATGGACGTATCGTCACGAAATTCTGCATGTTGGACGGGATCTGGTCAAAATGGCCCCTATTTGTTTTTGGTAATGATCCGTTAATATTTAGGGGACGTATGGTTCTTTTCATCATTATCGGTCAATATTAAGCGGGTCAAATTGACCCACATTTTTTGATTTATCTGGCTTGTGACAGAACTTTCGTTCCATAAGCCGAACTTAGGAAAGGCGCGTCGGTCTTTTGCGCAGTTTTTCCAATTTGAAAGACCATTTTCGGCAATGTTGTCTACGACTTGATCTTTCCATCGTATTCGTGGCCTTCCCCTTTTGCGTGAACCATCAGGTGGTTCGCTTTTATATGCCTTGGGCATCTTCATCCATTCTCACAACCTTGTCTGAATCCTTGTTCGATATTGAAAGGCTCTGAGAGGTCCGAGAGGACCTTGTGCCACTTAAAGTTATTAATTTTGCAGGAATGCCAAACGCAGACATGGCTTTAAACACCTCTGAACGGTACGGCTGTCGAATGCAGCTTTATAGTCTACGAATAGGTGGTATGTGTCGATGTATTTTTCGTGGGTCTTTTCCAGGATTTGGCAGAGTTAAAATTTGGTCAATGGTTGAATTGCCCAATAATGTCATTGACCATTGGCTTCAATCGTTCACACAGCACACTGGATAGCACTTTATATGCGATGGGAAGAAGGCTAATTTTTCTCTAGTTGGCACATTCGTCTTGTCTTTTTTGTGCACGGCAGACAGTATGCTGAGGTTCCAATTATTGGGCATGTATTCCTCTACCCAAATTGTACTAATTGTACCCTCAAATTACGTGTTGCTACTAACTGCAGGGTTGTCCTATACGCTGCGTGTTTTCATATCAGTAGCATTACGACACTCCTGATCGTACCATGGGTGTTTTTTGGTACCCAGTGAGCAATTCTTTGACATTGTGCTTCTATATTATTATCAAGGAGTGCTATCATCAAGCAGGTGGGCAAGTTGAGCGGAGTAGGCGTCTGCTACCTGTTGTGTTTGCAGCTTTTCGACGTCGAGTTTCCGTGTTACATTAGATCACACCTTTGCTGCTACATTAAGACGGGAGCGAACATTGGCTACCACAAGGTAATAGTCCGAATTTGCTCCTCGTATCGATCGAACATCACTGGACGAATGCCTTCCGTCTATCACAACATGATCAATTTGATTTCTCATTGCTTGATCAGGAGAAATCCAGGTGGCCTTGTGTATATCGAGATGCTTGAATCTGGTGCTGCTAAGTACCATGTTTTTTGGGTGGGATTAAAAATATTTTATTTTTAATCTCATGGACAGGGCAGCGGTCATATGCAGTTTCTAGGCGCTCGTAAAAAATGTCTTTGGTCTGTGCATCTTTGTCTTCCGTCGGAGCATGGGCGCAAATAAGACCGATGTAGAAGAACTCATGTTTTTTTTTCCGTTCTTCGAGTCAATTGGGATGTAAATGGTGCACCAAACTCTCAATATTGGTCCGATTGAGACACAATTTTGCACAGAGTAGGTTCAGATTGATGTATGCGAAGTTTAGTTGAAATCGGTTCAAATTTAGATATAGCTCCCATATACAGTTTCGTCCGATTTTATGTAAATACAGCACCATACTGCCAATATTGGTCCGATTGAGAGAATATTTTACACAGAGTACTGTATTATGTCCAGATTAATAAGTGCGAAGTTTTGTTGAAATCGGTTTAGATTTAGATATACGAAATTTTGGACAACGTACTGAAGTTATACATAATCCATTGTACCACATTTCAGCGAATTCGCTTGATACACAATATACTGAACATATTTATAATTTTTAGTGGTGACATTTGTTACACAATATGAACCGATTGTAACAAATTTCAGCGAATTCGCTTGAATTGCGCGCTCAAGAAACTCCAAAATATCGAAACTTGGGGGTGTCCTTATATGGGGCTATGCCTAAACGTAAACCATTATAGCTTATCTTCGAACTTGACCCCTGTCTACAGACAAAATACAACTCTTTGCAAAATGTTGGTGAACTATCTCAATTTTTTTAGAGGCTAGAGTGATTACAACAGACAGATCGAAGGGTTAAGTCAGTTCACATATAGACAAAGGTCACATTTTTAATTTAGTTCAATTTCATGTCAATGGTCCATCAAAAATGCGACATCTATTAGATGCATCTCTTGAATATATCCAATGTGGTGAAGTTAACCATATTAGTCGGCCCCGTCCGACTTTACTACTTTCCTTACTGGTTTATATTTTTGTTATACAAGTAGATACGCCTTCGTTACGTCTCAACATGGTATATCCGGAATTATTTTCCGATAAACTTTGCACTGTTTCCCCATCATCATATTTTTGTGTTTTCGCAATAAAGACATGATTAGGCAAAAATGTGAAATTAAATAAAAATGAGTATTTTTAAACATTGGTTTCTGAAAATTGTGAATGAGTCATATGTGAATTACTTTGTGGATTTAGAAAAACCCGGCTTGACAAAATTTACAACACCACTGTGTGTGTGCTGTGCTGTGAGTGTGTCATAACATGCATGTTTTACATTCTTCTCCAAAAAATTGTGTTTTTTTCTAAAATAACATTAAAAAGGCAAATGCTTGTTGAATGGCAGGCGGACAAGCGCTGATGGCGGCAAATACATCAGCACGGCAAGTTCATAAACATTGTGCTGTGTATATTTCGTTTTTCCAAGTAAATTATGCGCTTACTCATGCCGTTCATCGGCAAGAGCCACAAAAAACACCAACAACTATCAAACAACAGATCAGCAGCTCGTAAATATGGCTGGCTGGTGGTATTGGTGCATGATGATGATGATGTTGACGCAGTAACTAAATTTATCATTATTCTGTGGCTCTCGGTTGGTTGGTTGGCTGACTGTCGGGCTGCCTGCCGATCTGGCATCCAGGCTGATCTAGCTTTTGGCGCTGCCGTTGTGTTGTTTAAATTCGTAATTGTTTTCTCAATGAAATAATGTTTTTTGTTCTGTTCTTTTGTTGATCATTTGTTTTCAATTTTTTTGCTGCTGCTTCGAAATCCTTCCTCCCCTGCCTACCTCCTCTTTTCCCACATTTTAATTAATTTTGCTTGGGGAATTTTCTTTTCTATAAACACCCGAGTGTGGTGTGGTGGCGAGAAGCAGAAGCAGTTAATAAAAAACAAATGCCGGCATTTATTTACTTTTGCCATAACTTGCCATAATATACAAAGAAATAAAGAAAGCCTTGCAATATTATTTTTGCGCTTATGTATCAAGTTAATAAAACTTTTGTTTTTTTTCAGTTATGGAATTTTAATATAGTGTAGCGGAGACGGGTTACTATGGGGAGGATATTTTTACAACTTACGTTATGGGTACTACTACGTCACAAGACCTATACTTTAATTATCACTTAACTCGCTTTTTGTTTGCTATAAATATCTCCTGGAATTAAACATGACAAATTGTAATAGCCTTATTACATGTTTTTTTTTCAAAAACACATACACACATTATGACGATGGATGTGCATATAACGAGGTTTGTTTTTAACACATTTCAAATGTCCATCCATCAATTAATTTGCACTGATGTAAAAATAAGCCATTTCTCGCTTTGATTACTTTGTTATATAAATATACAACGGAATCTACTACTAGTAGCCTTCTGTGTGTGTCGGATCAGTTGATTTGTTTACTTTTTTTTTTTAAATGGCTTTTCCAATTAAACAAAATTATTCTTGTTGCTTGGTTCTCTGTTGTGCGGTTTTGGAAAAAACAACACACATTATTTATATTAATTTCAAATAGATACACTGTCGATAAGAAATGATATTCCAAATAATAGATAATAATAAAAAATAGAATTCTAATAAGAAATTTTCAAACGTATCGTATTGGTTTAGCTAGATGTTGTTTCTGATAAACGTTAAATAAATAACAAATATTTGAGAATGTTGCTTCTTTTTGAACTATATTTTTTTAGCAATGATAAATGTACACACAAGTCGTTGCTATGACAGTTATGAGGAATGTGTGTCTGGATCAACATCCAACTTCAGAAATTTTAGTTACGTAAATGGGTGATAATAATCTTAGATCATTTTCATCAATCCGGGCCCAATATGAATTGAGTCGTTTCTGGACTTCCCAGAATGATGTTGAACCAATATATGCACTGTCGAAAATGGGTTATAACCTCAGCTCATTCAATAATCAATCCCGGCCCAATATAAATTGAGACGACTGAAACATCCAGAATGGAATTGAAACAAAACCGTCCTTTTTTTTTTGTTTTGTCTATGCAGGTGATGTTCCATAGGTGCGATGTATAAGCCTAGGATAGGGTAATTAAAAGCAGTAAGGAAAGTTCAAAAGTCGGACGTTGCCGACTATATGATACCCTTCACCACTTTGGGTACATAAAAGAGAAGCTCATATTTACAATATCCATTATATAAAATAGATGCATCTTTAGATTCCATTAAAATGGAATCGTACGAAATTAACTGCTTGAAGTACAAAGATATTTGAACTAAATTAAAACAACCCATACACATACCAATCTGAAATTTATGAAAAATTGAATGTCAATCATCGAGCAAACTATGTATAAGATCTATATATATAAATGAACGTATTTGGGCAACCGTGGCATCCACCATTTGGTATATTGCAACACAGTGCGCTATCCAAAATTTATATCTATACGCTATATCCAATACACGTTATTTTAGGTTCGATTTTGTACTCTGTGCACTAATTTAGTTACTTGGTACATCATTTTGATGACATCGGATGAAAATATATGAGGGGGCTACATACATTGACAGTATGGTGTACCATTTACGTAAAATCGGAGGAAACTATAGCTATATCTAAATCTGAATTGATTTGTGTTATTCGGCCTATATTTGTCTCTTTGGTGCTCCATTTAAATAAATTCGAACGAAATTATATTCGGGAGCTATATCTAAATCTGAACCGATTGCAACAAAACATCGCATACATCAATCTGGATGTAATTTTGTCTCAATCGGACCAATATTGGGGGTTTGGTGCAGAATTTTCATAAATTCGGACGAAACTATATATGGGAGCTATGTCTAAATCTGAACCGATTTCAACAAAACATCGCATACATCAATCTGGACCTAAGTCAGTACCCTGAGCAAAATTTTGTCTCAATCGGACAAATATTGGGAGTTTGGTGCACCATTCACCTAAAATCGGACGAAAATATAAATTTCGTGCAAATCGAAGGATATAAAGGGACTTTGGTACACTATTTACCTTACATCGGACGAAAATATATATGACAGCTATATCTAAATCTGAACCGATTTTCACACTTCATTTAACACACTTCATTCCAGACTCAATTCAGTACACTGCAAAATTTCGTGCAAATCGAAGGATTTATAGGGTCTTTGGTGCACCATTTACATAAAATCCGACGAAAATATATATGGGAGCTATATCTACATCTGAACCGATTTTCACCAAAATTAGCACGCATTATTATGGACCTAATTCAGTAACCTGTGTCAAATTTCGTGCAAATCGAAGGAAAAAAAGGACTTTGGTGCACTATTTTCCTAAAATCGGACGAAAATATATATAGCAGCTATATCTAAATCTGAACCGATTTTCACGAAATTTAACACACTTCATTCCAGACTTAATTCAGCGCACTATGCCAAATTTCGTGCAAATCGAAAAATATATAGGTACTTTGGTGTACCATTTACCTTAAATCGGACGAAAATATATATGACAGCTATATCGAAATCTGAACCGATTTGTCCGAAACTCACCACTCATCATTCTAGACTCAATTCAGTACGCTATGCCAAATTTCATGAAAATCGAAGGAAATATATAAATCGACTCAAAAAGTGATTCTATGCATATTTTCAAAAGGAAACATGGGTCTATCTCGTTTCCTTTTGCCTGTTACAAACATATGCACAAAGACATAATACCCTGTACCACAGTGTGGTGAGGGGTATAAAAATACAGTGTAGTTTCTCGTAGCCTGGGAAGAAACTTGAAGTTTTAAAGGTGAGGGTCACTCTTAGTCCAAAGATGTCAGATAAGGCTTGATTTTTGGAAATTCGTATTTCGTATACAAAAGGGTACTAAGCTGCACTAAACATGGTACAATTTGAATTCGGGTGAGCCGATAGAGTTGGGATCCTTAAATTTGGAGTAAGGTCACTGTTTTTGGTGTATGATTTGGATATTTAGGAAGTTTTTTTTTAAAAACTTTTTGTAGTGTTATATTACCAATAACCATGTATTATTTTAAATAATATTTTCAAAGATCACCAGACCGAATAATTTTTAATAATTCTTAATTTGAAATATATTAAACACGTCTCTCTTTTAGGTGAACATATCGATGACAAACCACACAAACGTAACTCGGTACGCTTAACAATACGCAAAGTTATGTACGCTCCGTCCAAAGCGGGCGAACAACCATCAATTGAAGTTAGCAAAGAATTTATGATGAAACCGAATAAAATACATTTGGAAGCCAGTCTCGACAAGGAACTTTATCATCATGGCGAAAAGATATCGGTGAATGTACACGTGGCGAACAATTCAAACCGCACCGTGAAGAAAATTAAAGTCTGTGTACGACAATTTGCCGATATTTGCCTCTTTTCGACGGCGCAATATAAATCGGTTGTAGCCGAAACTGAATCCGAAGATGGTTGTCAGGTATTGCCCGGTTTTACGTTATCAAAAGTATTCGAACTGTGTCCACTGCTTGCCAATAACAAAGACAAGTGGGGTCTGGCACTGGATGGTCAATTGAAACACGAAGATACTAACCTGGCCTCGAGTACACTAATAACAAATCCAGCTCAGCGTGAAAGTTTGGGCATCATTGTACACTATAAGGTGAAGGTGAAATTGTTAATTAGTGGCCCGTTGATGGGTGGTGATTTAGTGGCCGAATTGCCATTCACTTTAATGCATCCCAAACCGGAGGAGGATGAAAATCCTCTGCTGAGTGACAAATCACCGCGTCAAAGTATACGTGGTGATGCACAATTGGTACAGATCGGTAACGATGATAGCAGTAGCAATACAACCACCGGTGCAAATAATAATGCAACAGGTGGAGGCGTGCAAGAAGTGCCAACTACCAATTTAATTCAACTGGACGATGATGATGCCCAAGATGATGATATAATATTTGAAGATTTTGCACGTCTTCGATTAAAAGGTGCCGAAACGGAGGCCTAAACTCTATGTGTCTGTCCAAAAAGAAACAAACAACCAACAAACAAATACAACAACAACAAAACAAAATAAGCCATATGCCATTTATTGTAATGATGAAAATACGTGTAATTCTTTTTAAATTAGCATAGATTATAAATTCCTCCAACATTCTCTGTTGCAAGAAAACAACAAGAAAAAATGTGAAATGTTTTGTTTTTTTTTTCTTTATTTTCGTTCTTTGTGAACGATGACGATCACATTAAATTTGATGTTAGTAGGAAACACAATCCCAGTTTGTTAGATGTGGAACTGAAGTTATTTTTTTATTAATTTATGCATGAATAGAATATCAATCTGTTTAATGGTAATGTGTATTTAAAAAAAATATTTATTTCATAAATTTTGATCGTTATTATTGTGGTGGTCACTTAAATGTGGAATAACCTTTGGAAATGTAAAAAAATAGTTCACATATAGATAAACCACAAGATACACATATTTTCTTAAATTAATATTAAATTGTATTATAACGTCATTTGTTATATACGTATATTTAATAATTAAAATATAAAATTGAAAATGTTTTTAAATTAAAAAAATATATATTTAAATTGTTTGTAATTAAAAGGGAAATATTTTTAAATGAAAAAGAAATATTTTTAAATTAAAAATATATATTCATGTTACGTTTTGGAAATATGTATATTAATTTAGCAGCCTGTTTCTGTAACAATGTAAAGGAAAAAATCGAATTACTTTTGTTTTACATTTAGAGGGTTGGCCGTAGGCCACACGAATTCGCTTCATTCGAATTTTACAGAAACTGCCTGTAAATATTGAAATATCATTTAATGTGCAAGGCATATTATATATTTTCTTTTAATTTAAAAATATTTTTTCTTATAAAGTATTTTTTTAATTTGGATTTTTTTATTGAAAATATATTTTTTTTTAATTTGAAAAATATTTTTAATTATAGATGGGATTTTTAATTGAAAGAAATACACGCTATTGAATTATCTCAAAAATTAAAACTCAAAATTTTGTTTAATATATATATATATATATATATATATTTAAAGCATTTAATACTGAAAGTAAAACAACTGTGTTTTATTTAGATAAAAATTGTTAAAATTAAAAAATATATATATACATATATTTGAAAAATAATATGAAATAATTTGTATAATTCTTAAATATTGTAATTTTCACCAAAGATATACCATCAAAATTTTTGATATTTAATCAAACAAAATAAAAAATCCCAGTATTTTTTCCAATAATCAGAATTAATAAAATTGAAATTAAGAAAGATTGTCAAACATTTTTTCATCATGAAAATTTCAATTTAAAGAATTTATTACTGAAATAAAACAACTGTTTTTTTAGATACAAAATTATCAAAATTAAAAATAATATGATATAATTTGTATATGTCTGAAATATTGTAATTTTCACCCAAGGATACGGTCATCAAAATTTTTGATATTTCATCAAACCCACCATAGTTTTTATTTAATTCAAATATAATATTTTAACAAAAAAGTCTGAACCTTCACATTTTAAGAAAGAATGATATATCAAGAATAACTAATAAACTGTGTACAATATTTCTTCAATAATTTTTAATTAATGTGTTTGTCAATAATTGGATTTTTTTCAAAAAATTAAAAAAAGCTTTTCAATATTTGTTTAGGAAAAATTAAAACTTTTTGAAATTTGAATTAAAAAAAAAATCAAAACAATATTTTTGAATCTCGAAATAGACACCCATCAATTTTATTTGACCTAAATCGGCAACTTTCATCAAACATACAGGCGTTGGAATCCCACATTCGGTGCGAAAAAATGACCAAAAATATGAAATATTTCCAAAACCAACATTTCTATTCAAGCTTTTATTTTTTACTTTTTATTCTTTAATTGTCTGCAATTTTTTTAGTTGCGTTTGTATATTTACGAACTATTTACACATTTCAAGAATAATAGACCTGAGGACTAAATGTTATGTGGTGATAGACGAAGAGTGGCCTAATTAGTTCTAAATCTTACAATGAAATTTTAAATCTGTTTCTTTAATATTCAAATGAATACAATGATTTAGAAATAGGTTTTATTGACTATATATTTTTACTAAAATTAATTAAATATTATTCGAAAAACAAGAGGGTTTGGTGATTGTTAAATTTAATATGGAAATATTAAACCATTTTTTATATTTCAAAATATACATTACCATCAAAACAGATTGATAGAAAACCGTCGGTGGTTATATCTACCATTTGTCGCCTATTTTTTTTTTAACCACTTTAGATTTCCTTTAGTTACCGGAATGCTACACAAACAAAAATATCAAAAAAGAAAACAGCGAATGTTTTTAAAAAATCTATGTTTTTTATTTTTCTAGTTAAGTGTTAAGCTAGATAAACCTTAAATGAAGATGAAGAAGAATAAGAAGAAGAGAAAACATGTTAACAAATGTCAAAAAACAAAATTACAATAATAAGATACACAAAAGCCATTCGATGTCCATGTTGATGTTGAAGATTGAGACCACCCACTCACTCATCCTCCTCCCCAGTAGTATGAACTGTACGTACATATATGTCACACAAACAATACACACACATGCAATTGAATTCAATTAATTATTTTAAATATTATAAATATATAAACAAAAAAACAAATTGTATGTATATGATGTCCTTGTCATCTAGTATTTAAGTTATAATTTATATGCTATTAAACTATAACTATCTACCTACCTAACTATCTATCTGTCAAACAATCAACTCTATGTACTGTGTTTTTTTTCATGATTATTATTTTTTGTTGTTTTCAATGTGGCAAACAAACAAAAAAATTGATATATATCTATAAAACAACTATAAACATAAATAATTTATATATATATAAAAAAACAAAATGTAATACGAAAATATCTGCCGCTTTTGTCTGCTGTATATTATATGTAAATTATCGAAACAACAACTACTATAACTGCAACTATTATTACTCTTACTACAGAGAGAAGAAGAAGAAAAAATGTTCTGTTTGTTATCTATGCAAAAAAATATTTATGCATATATCATAGCTACATAAATTTACATAATCTATTCCCCCAAAACAAAAAGAGAAGAATGAAAAAAGATGAATCCCACATTAAATATACTCGGCAATAATCTTAAAAACAAACTACAAACAAATTAAAAATAAAAAAAATCATAAACGATTCTTATTCTTACCATAGTCGTATAATAAATATCATCCCTTTATATATACATTTTTGTTTTGTTTTTTGGAACAATTAGACCAAAGTAATGCATACAAAAAAACTAAATTTATATAACAAAAACAAAACGAAAAACTTGCTTTCCAAATTACCTTACAATTGTTGTTCTAGTTTTTATTCAAAGCAAGATGAAATTACCACAACAACCACTACCACCACCACCATTAAACACCTTACTTGCATACACATTAAATTTCAAAGTAAAAACAAAAAACAAGAGCTTTAATAATTATATATATTTAATGAAAAAAGAAAAACAGAAAAGTAAAAATTATATGTTGTATATTATTTTTTTTGTCAAAATTTTTATTTTGTATATTAAAAATAGCCTTATTTATATATATATAAACAAATTCTCTTTAATGAAATAATCAAACGTCGTATACTGATACATACACACATATATGCATTTCGGCGCATTTTACTCCGGATATTTATTTTAACAAACAAAAAAAAGTAAAAAATAAAAACACCAACAAACAACAAATACATACAACAAAAAAATAAAAAAAATACACACAATAACATATAGAAAGGAATTTTTATTTATAGTTCATACGATTGTTAAAAGGGTGTAGTGTACGTACGAAGAAAATAATATATTAAATTGCTCATATCACAGTTTCTTGATTTCAGTAACCCAGAACAAGTCAAATTTGTTGATCTGACCATTCTGTTTTACTTATTTGCGTTAAATCAAAACATTCACATAAAATATTAGTATGTCCCTGTACTGCAAGAATTTACTAAATATTACTATTTCTTTTCGATATAATAAAGGAAAAATTATTCTAGTACTTCAAATTTTTTACATTTCTGGAGGTTCTGAAACACACATTATATCAAGTCTTCATATAAGAATTTGAAAAATGAACATAATAACCTTGTAAAGGAGTATTTAATGAGATTGAGACAGATTTCTTAATAAAAAATTCTTGAAAAATGTTTTCCCTTATAGGAACATTTATAAACTAAATACTACAAACATATGGATTTTCAATGTTGTCCGGTACTCGAAAGAAGATTTAGAAGGACAAATTCTTATTTACAAAATACTATATCGGTTGAGAAACAAATGTTTATTAAGTTATCCTATTTTAAAATTATAAATACTAAAATTTTTCGGATGTATGTCCAATATATGTTGGAGGCCCCATCAAAATTAAATTGAATGTCCAGACTCATAGATAGAGAAATATTGCTCATCTATTGCTATTATTTCTGGAATATATGGTATTGAAAACAGTTGGAATCAGTTCACTTTTTGGTGTGGCCCTATTTTTGGCATTTTAAAGGTTTGAACCATTATCCAATGCTGGTATTTCATTTTCTGAGAGAATAAAAAAACTCAAGACATACAATTTGCAATGTAGATCAATGTTTTAACATGTCCGTCCGTTCATCCATATAGTCTTGGGAACAAAGTATGGCAAAGATCACTTATTTGGCCGAAGGACGAACCATATTGAAATTGTAGAAAATCGGTTGAGATTTAAATATAACTCCCATATATATTTTCATCCGATTTTATGTAAATGGAGCACCTAACTCCCAATATTTGTCCGATTGAGATAACATTTTGCACAGAGTTGAATTGAGCACAGATAGGCGTATATGATGTTTTAATGGTTTCAGATTTAGATATAGCTCCCATATATATTTTTGTCCGATTTTATGTATCCGACTAAAACAACATTTTTCAAACGTCCTGAATTAAATAGAAATAG